TTCTTAGTCTATTGCAAATGATCACTTGATCATTACAGATGTATTTGTATTGTTCTGATACCATTTAGCAAGATTAAACTTTAAAAGATCAACCTTGAATACTGATCTATTGATAAATATATCTAAAAGATAGAAGATTACTGTGAAGTTATTCTTTGATAGATAAATAACAAAAACTCGATTATATTCTGAAAGATTATTTTCTTCTATATATCTGTATGTTGAACAATCACCAAATTCTTGTAGATTCTATTTCTTTGAATAGAGCTAAATTATAATTAATGTTTTTCACACATCTAATGATTACTTCAAGATTGATTGATAAATTGCTTAGACTAGATACCTTTTTCTATATTTATCAATTCAATCTTTAGCTATTGGTTCGAAGACTAAATTGACCCATGCAGAACCCAATGGTTTTTTTCTGAAAGAAATTATAGATTAGCACAATCATAATGTATTATAGTTATCTCCGAATATCTATTTAGTTCCTCATCTATTAAACAGAACAACATTCAGTATTCAAATTATTCTGATCTATTTAATAGAATCTGTAGATCAGTATAAATGCTTTCTAATTACTGAAATCGATCAGTAGTATATTTTTATTTTCAATGGTTATCTTCGCAAAGTATAATTCAAGTGATAAGTTTTACCCCAGTTTCTTTTCTTTTAACGTTATTATTATTATTATTATTTATTTTTGTGAGTTCTAACAAGTTCTCAACTGAGTTACACAGTACTAACTTACACTAACTATTAACTTTATTAGTCAATCAATAGAGAAAAATAGTTAAGTACACAACTTGAATTGAAGTTTGTACCTCTAGTCCTCTTGTAGTGAGCAAGAACACCATTGGGAACAATCGAATGTATTTGGCAACAAATTACAGAACATGTTAATAAAATCTAACAATCATATAGTAAATGCTCAATTTGCAAAATGTTCACCAGTTGTCTCAAAATGACTCAGACTTCATTGTCCTTGCATTTTCATTCTTTGCTGTTCGATCTTCTTGTCTCTCTACTGCCAGACATTCTGTTCACGACTAACATCATATATTACTTATGTCTACATAAGTAGCACATACCACACTCTTATTTACGTCTAAGCAATCAGTTGACAACAATAATCTTCATACAAAAATTTCATATTTTGAACTGATTACATTGAGATCTATTAAACATCTCATATAATATTAGCATTATTTTTTTGTATTTTTTTTATTGATAAACACAAATACTCCACTATTGCTCCATTACTGTATTTTCTTACAATATCCAAATAAGGTCATAATGAATTCCCTAATCATAAGTACTTTCTACCATTATTTCACTAAATAGTTTGCAGGTTTATTAAAGTAAAATACTAAGCAACAACATAATACAATCTATATTATCTTAGCATACATATAACCAGAATATATATATATATATATATATATATATATATATATATATATATATATATATATACGTTTTGAGTAATGAACAGTTGTCAGTGTTATTTATGTGAAGTTATTGAAAGTGTCTGAAATTGATTTGACAGAAATAACAATATAGTTATTATCAGAAGGGATTTTGTGGAGATTTCCTTTAGTAATTTCAATAGTTGAATACATGAGTCAATTGAAGCTAGACCATCATGGAAAACTTGGAAGCACTGGATGGCCGTTTCGTCTTAATATGGGACACCTCAGCAGTGCTCATCCACGACCCCGCCTTGTAGAATTCAACCGGGTCTGTTGTGAGATATCAACTCACTGATGACAGTGGTGTACGGTGGCTCAATTTCATGGATTGGTTGAAGTTAGAGATTAACACTGTTGGATGCCGGCTCAGTTGTCTAGAAGTTAAGCGCTCACGAGCGAAACTGATAGGTCCTGAATTCAAATGCCACAAGGTGGAATCGTGGATGTGCACTGCTGAGGAGTCGCATACTAGAACGAAAAGGCCGTCCAGTGCTTATAGCTTCAATTGACTCATGATTTCAACTATTAAAATATAGTTATTAGTTTGTTAAAATACTGAATCAATCTATTTGAATTTATTATTATGATACATTAAAAGTTATTGTATATAGATCTATATACTCCATTAGTAACTAGTTCAATTTACTATGTATTTATCGAATATTACATTGAGCATGTAAATTCAATAAAGACCATGTCGTTATTTGATGATTATTTATTAAACTTTTAATATATATTAAACATTAATGTGAATAAAGATTAAGATGGAAATATACTTTCAATTGTAGACATGTTTATTTCAATAGTTTATGTATACTTTATGAACTTAATGATGTACAAATTTGATCTTTTGAAATGGATTCAAACATTTAAAAAACTGATAAAATAACTTCTGTAATAATTAATGTAAGATGTATTGTGAAGCAAATCGAATATATATTCTTGCTGAATACAATCACAACCTGATTGATAGGTTTTACAGTTTAAGATTTAGAAAAAAGTAGGAACATTCAGTAGTTCATTCAATATAGTATAGGTATGAACTAAATAACACACTACAGAATCCCCTCCCCCCAACTAAATTTTAATTCCTTCAATAATGTTGGTAAGTCTTGTTAGTGCATGCCTATTAGATTACGTTTCTTGCCAATTAACTTCATCATGAATCAGCTGTGCTATCAGATTGAGACTAAAATTACATCGGCATAATTCAATGGTTACAGTTATTGATTATAATACTCTTATTAATGTAAAACGTTTTATTCAGTAATTATAATTTATACGGTACTGTATTCTAATAATATAAATATTCATATAAAAATTAAAATAGAAATGAGTATTTTTTTTACATTTCATGGATTAACAACTATAAGTAAACAATGATTTTTCCCCTAGTGGTTGCTAGGGTAAATAATTGAATTTCTTCTATTTATATATATGTCATATGGTCGATCGGGTGTAGCACGAAAAAAAAAACAAAAAAAGTATTCAGAATTTAATTATTTTATTAAAGGTAACTTAATGAATGTAATTGTACTTTATCCAGTTGTTTATTGTTTACAGTGAATAGCATATTGCTATTATTATCATTTCAATAATTGAAATCATGAAGCTAGATTACCATGGAAAACCTGGAAGTACTGGACGGCCATTTCGTTCTAGTATGGGACTTCTCAGCAGTGCGCATCCCTGATCCCCCTCCGCGATCATTATCATTATGACTTTATTCGTGCTTACAATTTATTATTGATTGTAAAGATAACAAAGTGACGTCAGAGTGATTTCATATGTATTATGAATAAGAATACTTAAAAGATCACTAACCTTTATTAATGCATGAGTACTTCTTGACATTGTCAATATACCAATGTATTACATGACTAAAAATTTTAAGCATGAATTCATCAAATTTAACTTTCTATCATTAGAGCCTTAGTACATGTATCAATAATTTCAATAAAATAAAACTCTACCTAATAGATGGAAACTTAATATATTCCTTTTTAACTGAGATCATGAATCGATGAATTTTAGACCACCAATGGAAACCTGGAAGTCCTAGTATGGACTCGTGAGCAGTGCACATCCACGATTCTGCATGTAGAAATCGAACCCAGGATTTTCGGTCTCTCGCGCCAACGTCTAATTTCGTTAGATTATTAGGTGTTGTGGTAGTTGTTGGATATTTTAGATTATATTGGTAAAAGATCTTGATCAGACAGTGAATGAAACTAGGAAACTACTAGATAGTCGTATCATTCTAGTATTGAACTTCTCTCAAGTGTTCATCCTTAACTTGACTGAGGATAGGACCCAGAATCTTTAGGTTTCGAGATTAGCTTTAAACGTTTACACTACCAAGTCAGTATTTAATGATTTATATCTCTAACATTAAGAAATACACAATATTGAGCAACCATTTTCCATTGTATTCAGTGGGTAAATGATCAAGTCAATAGTTCACTGAATATTTGGATAAATCTTATGAATCATTGAAGTTTAAAGATTTGAGTACTCAGTAGTCTCATACTCTACGTACATTTACTAACCGATGTTTTAATACAACTGAAAATCTTCAAATGTCTTAGATATAATCAACTGTAGAAATAAACTCGTGCTTTAAACTCTTCAAATATTAGATTACTGATTTTATTCACATTTTTCGTATTTTCATTTATTAGTAGAAATATGTTCCTTCTCTTTTTTTCATATAATTTTAAGCAATGACCTGGTTGTCATAGAAACCATTCATAACTTACATAACTGATATGTAGTGAATAAGAACATCATTAGGAACAAACGAATATACTTGACAACAAATTACAGTACATGTTAATAAAATCTAACAATCATATAGTAAATGCTCAATTTGCAAAATGTCCATTAATTGTCTCAAAATGACTCAGACTTCATTGTTCTTGCATTTTCATACAAATTGCATTCTGTTTCCATTCTTTACTGTTCTATTCTATTGTCTTTCTGCTGCCAGACATTCTGTCACTGACTAACGTTATATACTACTTACGTCAATATAAGTAGCACACACCACAGATTAAGCAATGAAATTTAACTATGTTGAGAATTAGTCGGTTACCCACTAAAAACATGTAGATACTCAAGTAATATTCTGAATTCATTTGCTAATTCATCGGTCAAAGGTTATGAGAATGTTATGAGACCGGAAGATTTTGAAGACGATCAACATTACGGTTGTAGATATTCACTAATGAGTAGTTCCATATTGTTCAGTACTTTATATTCACTGATTGTCAAAGTCCGCTATGTAAACTAATAATACTTAACAGTCTTCACAAATCATGTACATTACGAATATGAAGTTGTTGCTTTTTTTAGAATCATAATTAAATGCCACAGAAACCAAGAACTGTGGAATTAATATAGAAAGTTGAAACAAAAAGTATAGACACAAATCATATTAGAAAGAGGTGAATAAGAAGAAGATCAAATCTTCAACGAACATCACACATATCTTCTGATTTCCCCTAATACAAGTATAATTTGTAAAAAATGGCGAGTTTTATTGCAAAACAACTAATTGGAAATCAACTGGATTCAGTAAAAGGTAAGTATTTCTGTTTTGAATAATTGTCATGTTCTAAACAATTAAAATAGATTTTTAAAAATTATAGTTGACATCATAATTCAGTTGAAAATAGATCACCATGGAAAACCTGGAAATACTGGACGGCCGTTTCATCCTATTGTAAGACTCCTCAGATGTGCGCATCCAAGATCCCACCTGCGCGAGATTCAAACCCAGGACCTATCAGTCTCGCGCGAGAGCGCTTAAGCTCTAGACCACTGAGCCAGTATCCGATGGTGTTAATGTCTAACTTCAACTAATCATCGAAATTGAGCCACACATACACCATTGTCTTCAATGAGTTACTATATCACAACATACCTTGTTCAACTCCACTGGTCACTACATCTTACTAGAACTCCAGGATAAACCTCTTGAAGCCAGTCACTAGTGAACTAGTCACGTCAGCCGGTCACGTAGTAAAATCACTACAACCTCCATAAAACCCCTTCTGATACTAATCTAAATTTATTTTTTTATTATTTGTTTAAAAACAGTCTAATCAAGTTGTCCTTCAAGTTCACGACTAATTGATTGGGTATAATCAATTGTGAATAGATTCTAAAATTTTTTTGCAAAGATTCTGAACACCCCAATAGTGGTATAATTTGCTTACGATGATTTTCGAAGACCATATTTTTGATTGGGAATTGGATTATATAATATGGCATACATAACATATTTCCCAACCACCTTAGTTAATAATAGTTCACTCCTTCCTCAATGTATCACACTGCATCTAAATTCAGCACTGCTAACTCAACAGTTATTCCGTGTAGACATTGACTTAATTCAACCTAACCAGAATGTAATATCCTTAGTTTACAACAATCCAACTTATTAAAAAAAGGTTCATATAAATTCCTCTTTAAGGCTACTTCACATTACTAACAGTAAAATTTCAACTGGGTCCAACTTATTATTAAAACTTCAGAAATTTCCGCCCTCAGTTAGCCTCTAGTGTATAAACGACAATTATCAGTGTGATGGTTTGTGCAGATCATTGAATATTATTGAAATCAAGAGCTGATTTAAGATACTAACAGGAAACAACGGAATACGTTTAAGCAATACCGCGAATTGGTTCAAGTTAAATATGTAAACCACTGGATACCAGCTCAATGATAAAAAATTAAATGTCTACTGCGACACCTGAATTTTCTGCGTTCAATTTCCTTTGAGGCACTGGATACTCACTTCTGTGAAGTTTCATACTAGGACTAAACAACTGTCCAGTGCTTCATGGTTTCCAATTTAGAGATTTTTTATATAACATTTTCCTCGTTGATCATAATACTAATTTTCTTTCTTTTTTTTTGATATCAATTTTCAAGGTGCATTAGGTGATAAAAAAGATGAAGGTGAAGGTGTTTTAGGTGGACGTAAAGAAATTGATCCAGAAGTTGAAGCTGCATTACGTGAAGCAGAAGAAAAAAGAGAAGCTAAACATCGTAAAATGGAAGAAGAACGAGAAGTGATGCGTCAAGGTATCAGAGATAAAGTAGGTGATCTTTTGTGGTATAGTATTACATTTATTACCTAGAGGTTGATTTTTTACACCATAACTATGCTAGATTGACAACTATAAATGATCCTCAAAGAGACTTTAAATGGAAGCGTTTTGAATAAAGAGACCAATAGTTATGAGTTTGAAATGGTGGAGAAAATACGTAGTTTATAGAGAAGCTTCTATTTATATTGTATACTTTAATCTGAATGACTTAATTGGGAAGTCTTCATTATTGTTCTGAATAACAACATAAGCATTAATGTCATATAAAAGTGAACCTTTTTGTTGTTGGCTATTCCACATATGTTAAATCAGTTAGTTCTGATGACCTTATTCGTGATTGATTGTTTCCGTAAGTTTTGTTGTCATCATTTGTCTTTGCATTTCATTTCTTTTATTTTGGTTAACCTCTAACCATATGTTTGATTGGCTCTTTTTGTATGAGTTAGTATATCGTATCTATGTAAGTATGTAGATTGACTGAAATGTTATGTTTATAGATATTCTTAGGGAATCTTAAAGTTTTATCGATTCACAGTGTTGACGTTTTCTGAAAATGAATTCGTGTCCATAGTTATCGTAATCCATTGGTGAATTTATATGTAAAAATATATTATAGATTTGTACTATTAATTTTTGGTATGATATAAAAGGAGTCCACTTTGTCCTATGAAATAATTCTCGTAGTTTGTGGAATTTATTTTGTAGATACCACTGAAATTATGAGAAGGGGTTTTGTGTATATTACAATAATTAGTAGTTGAAATCATGAGTCAATTGAAATTAAACCACCACGGAAATTCTGGAAGCAATGGATGGCCGTTTCGTCCTAGTATGGAACTCCTCAGAAGTGCGCATCCACCATCACGCTCCCCGCGACCTTCGAACCCAGGACCTATCAGTCTCGTGAGTAAACGCTTAACCATTAGACCACTGAGCTGGCCGGTATCCAACAGTATTAATCTTTAACTTCAACCAATCCACGAAATTGAGCCACACATACACCATTGTCTTCAATGAGTTACTATCTCACAACAGACCTTGTTCAACTCCACTGGTCACTACTTCTTACTAGAACTCCAGGATAAACCTCTTGAAGCCAGTCACTAGTGAGCATATGTTGATTGATATCAGAAGGGATTTTATGGATATTATAGTAATTTAGGAATTCCAAACTAGGGACGAAATAGCCGTATAGTGCTTCCAAGTTTTCCATGGTGGTTTAGCTTCAATTGACTCATCAATTCAACTACTAAATTAAAATCCAAATGTTTTGTAAAAAATCTTTAAATATGATTTCATTCTATCAGTTTAACAAAACGATTGAATAAAACATGTAAAAATCCGTAACGGAATGTATCCAACAGTTATCTTCTACTTTTACGTAATGGCTAAAATTGAAATTTGTGCTAAGGATTATACAAATTAACTTAAAAGTCTGTTTTTATGTTCCTCACTGTATCAAACTAGCCTAAAATACAAAAAGTTACTAGTTAATGAACTAAATTGTTACATAACATTCATTCTATCCGCTTTAACTTACAAATGTAGGACTATGGTATAGAATCATACATAGGGGCTTCTGCTGAACATTTAGTTTAAATGATGAGACCGAATAAAAATATTAGCCTAATGTCATCATCTGTGTTGTAAATGTTTTTAGAAAATATCGTCTAGAACTGATGAATTACTAGCTTCCAAATTTAACTTTCCCGCAAATTATATTATTTTTAGTGGTGTTTTGAATAACAGGTACTTTTATGGTCTGAATATGATGGCTAAATTTCTATCCATTTATATTGATTACTTTGTGCTTTAGCAACTGTTAACTCAAAAGATTTTGAATTTTTAGTGAGTAGTCAGATACATCAATATATTTATAGAGATCTATGGTGGAAGCCACGGCTTGTGTAACTGTCAGCGACTCCAATCTATGATTTGTCTAAAGAACTGAAAAAAATGTTGAAGAATCTGATTGAAACACATGATTAATGTATCAACTCCAAAAAATTCCTAGCAGATATAAAAAAAATACTATCAAACAACAGTGAAATAATAATCTCGGTGTCACAGTCCTAGTTTTCGCAGTTTATACGAAACGCCATAGATATAACGAAGAACCCTGGCAATATACAAAAATGCTGTGGTCGAGTTCGATAGAATTTACATATCTGTACTTCACAGTGTATTTCCAATTCCATAGATAGATTTACAAGCAAATCAAAGGGACTCCAGTATTTAGATTAACACACAAAGACTATAGGCAATAGTTCTAACAATGATCAAACCAAAGATTCGAATACATTGCATAGATGACATACGTGTTATCCCCAAGAGATACAAATTTGATAATACACACAAGTTTATTAACTATGTTTCCACTGTCATCGAATTTACTGTAGAATAAATATCAGTAAAAAAAATTCTGTTCTTAAGGGTATTAATCAATAAAACACATACAATACCTTTAAAACTATGGGTATAGAGAGACCTAAGCCTTATATTATGCATTAAGTTATAACGGTCAAAAGCAGAAATGAACAAAACGAGCTATGTGAGATGTTATTCAGAAAAACCGAAATACTCTTCAGAAATCCAACGGTGTGAAGATTTGAAGAAACCTCTCTTGCTATTAATGTTTGTTTTCTTAACTTTGTCAAAAAATTACCTAACTAGAAGAAAATCATCCTCAGAAACAAGAACACAGAGTATTCGATGATGTGTAGAAAAAGATCATAGAAACCGTGATAAAGATTTCGAAATCACTCGAAATTAAAGTCAGTCACATACAAAAATGCTCACTACTGCATTTTGCGTAGGCTGAAAAGTATAACTATAAGAGAAGACAATTTCAGTACTTCACTAGTTGAAATCATGAGTCAATTGAAGCTAAACCACCATGGAAAACTTGGAAGCACTATACGGCCATTTCGTCCCTAGTTTGGAATTCCTAAATTACTATAATATCCATAAAACCTCTTCTGATATCAATCAACATATGCTCACTAGTGACTGGCTTCAAGAGGTTTATCCTGGAGTTCTAGTAAGAAGTAGTGACCAGTGGAGTTGAACAAGGTCTGTTGTGAGATAGTAACTCATTGAAGACAATGGCGTTTGTGTGGCTCAATTTCATGGATTGGTTGAAGTTAAAGACTAATACCATTGGATACCGGCCAGCTCAGTGGTCCAATGGCTAAGCGTTTACTCACGAGACTGATAGGTCCTGGGTTCGAAGGTCGCGGGGAGCGTGATGGTGGATGCGCACTTCTGAGGAGTTCCATACTAGGACGAAACGGCCATCCATTGCTTCCAGAATTTCCGTGGTGGTTTAATTTCAATTGACTCATGATTACAACTACTAATTATTATAATATACACAAAACCCTTTTCTGATTTGGATTTGAACTATTATCACGGTTTTGATGAACTAAATTTGATTTTAATTCTTTCCCTAATTCCGATAACAATTTACATCACATACCAGTTAAAAGAACAACAGGTTTGTTAATTTTAGCCATAAGTTTAGCCTTGTTCCATCGTTATTTATAATTTATTTCACTTTTTAAATGAAGAATAGTGCAATCTATATGTATAAGGTAAAGTGTGAAATTTTTTTGGGACTAAACATATGTCAATTTATGTAATCATTTATTGCATACAATTCTCCATTTTGACATTTTTTCTGTACATTCATCTATCTTTCTAGTATGGTATTAAGAAAAAAGAAGAAGAGGTTCCAGCTGATTTCGATTTTTCTAGTCCTGAAGGTCGTCTTGGTCGTAAACGTAAAACACCAGCTGAACTAGCGGCTGAAGCGAATGAAGCGGATGATGAAAACATTTTAACAAGTAAATTTATGTATCTGTAATATCCTACTGATGTATATATTAGTAGTATACTGCAATATTTGCAAAGTTGAATGATGAGGGAATTTTTTATTATTAACTAAAACGTAGGAGAAGGGGTTTTAGGAGAATTAAGTAATTTCAATAGTTGAAATCATGAGTCACTTGAAGCTATACCACCATGGAAAACTTGGATGCACTGGACTGCTGTTTCGTCCTGGTTTGGGACTCCTCAGCCGTGCGACTTCATGATCCGCCTCGCGAGATTAGAACCCAGGACTTATCGGTCCCGCGCACCGTCCAGTGCTTCCACGTTTTCTATGGTGGTCTAGCTTCAATTGACTCACGAGTTCAACTATTAAAACATATGAATCGAAATGCCATTAACCCAAAATAACTATTTTTATCATTCTAGAACTTACGGAATTTCCTACAGTAAACGACGATTTAGATTAAAATCAGTTTATTGATATTTCAATCATAGTTTTCGAATACTTTACACTGTACTACTCTCTAGTTCTCATTGAAATCTAATATGTATCCGCAGTCACGAAATGAATTTTTAGCAACTTTAGGGAAATATATGATATTTTGTGGTGAGTAGAATAGATTAGTAAGAGAGGGAGTCAATTATTTCGGCAGGAGTAAAGTTATTGTAGTCCAATAAAAACTGACTATCAGAAAGCATCCATAAAAATTAAGGCGGTATATTTCCTCATTGCAGTAGAATAGTTTAATTTTAAAGAATTATTAATAAGTCGTTATATAATATGCCTTAGTTTCCATAAATTTGATGCTTCTAAGTTGATCGAGTGGCAAGTTTATAAACCTTTATCTCGGGTAGATATCAGAGTTTACATGAAGACTAGCATCCAAGATCCAGTATATCAAACTTTTTAGTTAAAAGAATAAACATCTGTGAAGGTCAATAAATAAATTACCATATCGTGAGAGCCCATTGTCCGCACATTTCTTTCTGTAAACTGTTTTGTTGATTATCTCATTAAGCCACTCAGATTTTCAAAAATGAATGTGAACTATTGAGTTAATCAAATCGAAAATGAAACAGTTACTGATCACTGTTCCTGAATAAGGATTGCACTATAAGTGAATGAGTGTTATCATGTTCATTCATAAAACTAGAAGTTGATGGTTCCAGAATAGAATTATCGATGAAAAATCTTGAGGTTTCAAAAACTCGAATGAAATAACTGGACATTTATATATCATTCAATAGTTCACCTTTCGATATCAGTGTATAATCAAAGCTACTGAAGAATTTTTTTCAACTCTAGACTGTCACTTTATCCTATGATGTATCATGCTGAATTCCCATAGTTTGTTAAATGGCTATGATCTTTCACTATCGAGTATACTGTGATACTTTCTAACCAACTCTATTTATATCAGTTTGAATAATGTAACACTCATCACTTTAACCTGCAACATACATTAAGTTAATCTCTCAGATTGAATCAGAAACCATTATCAAATTATCAGTATACGGTTGTGGAGATGATTGAGTTTTTGATTGAGATCATGAACCGATTGATGTTAGACCACCATTGAAAGCCTCGAAGTACTGGACAGCGGATTCGTTGTATTGTGGGACTCCTCAGCAGTGCGCATTCACGATCACGCTCGCTGGATTCGGACCCATGGCCTTCAGTCTTGCGCGCGAACGCTTAACCTACTAGATCACTGAGCCAGTATACAACGTTGTTAGTATCTAACCACAACCAATCCACAAAATTGCGTAACCATCTTCCATTGTACTGAGGTAGATACCCATCTCTACCCGACACGAATTAGCTGGGTTCGAATCCCGTGAATGTGCACTACTGAGGTGTCTCGCAATGGGACAAAATGGTCATCCAGTACTTCCAAGTCTTCACTGATGGCCTAATATCAATCGGTCAAAGATCTTAATCATTACCTAGTTTTTGAATCCAGTTTTTTAGTCATATTGTAGTGAACAAGAGCACGTGTGGGGGATAATCGAGTGTAATTGACACTAAATTACAGAACTATATAGTAAATCGTTAATTTGAAAAATATCAATCCATCATATCAAACTTGACTGTTCCTGTTGCTAACATCAATCCATTGTCTCAGATTTCATTGTTCATACATTTTCATACTAATTACTTTCCGTTCCCATTTTTTCCCTCTCGATATTCCACCGTTATATACTACTTGTGTGGATATAAGTAATCCGCACCACAATATATCAATTCAATGATAATATTCTCATATATATCGTTTCTATCATAATTTCTAGGTATGTTACCGGAAAATATGAGAAATATGGCTAATAAAGTAACCGAAGTTCCAGGAAAAATTATTTCAGAAGCTAGTGAAAAATGTCTTCTTATGTGATTATTATCATCTACATAAAAAACTATCATATATGTTTAAACAATTATAAACATGTATAATTATGTCAATATAAATCTCATCAAAAGTAATTAATGGCATAGTCAATATACATACACATACATACACATATATATACAACATACATACATACATACACATGCACATTCACACACACATACCTACATACAAACATATCAGTATGTTAAACATACTATGGTAATTATAACAAGAAAGAGTTTCATTATTCCTGATTGAATTACTTATTTATTTATTTATTTTATTCTAATATTGTAATACAAAACTGTGTGACAATTTCAATACATTTAATGATTAAGTAATTCCTTCTATTAATAAATAAATTAATTAATTAAATTAGTGCCTGATTGAAGTTATTCATGTATGTTTGTATACACATAATTATCATCATCATCGTCATAGATACATAAAAAGCATTCTTAACCTTATCTGAATATATTCCATGTGTTTAATCTTTGTTTATTATTAGTCAATTCGTTTAGTTATATCTTTATATAATAAAAAATAAAATAAAATAACAAATTGTATGTAGAATAATAGATATTCCATTGATTACGTAACTAACTAACTAACTAACTAACCAACCAACTCAATAAATAAATAAATAAATAAATCACTTTTCATTAAATTGAATTAATTTCTTTAATTGATTTCTTTAATTACATAATAAATTAGTAAACAAACTCAATTACAATTACAATTCAATTAATTCAATTAATTAATTGCATCATTTAATCATGCATACAAACCTACATTCAAAACAAGCAAACAAACAGACAAACAAATAAATCAATAAATAAATAAACTGTAATCATTTAATATATTACATTATAATATGCATATTTCATTTCATAATTTTAATTTTTTTCTAGATTAATAATTCCATAATAATTGATTATTGATATTGTTTAATTAGTTTATTTATTTATTTTGTTTATTTATTTATTTATTGATTGATTGATTCGAACTATTTTCAAACATTTCATATTGATATGACAACCATAAATAAATTTAATTTAAAATAAATAAAAAAACAAGAAAAAAAAACAAAAATAAAATAAAAATAAACAATTATAAACTGTGAACAATGCATAATTCGAAACAATGGTTGATCCATTCTATTTTAAATTAAAACTAAAAGAGAATGACCCATTGTCTGTTCATAAAAAATTATATATTATTTATTAATAATAATAATAATAATAATAATTGTTATTATCTTATATTGTATTTTTGAAATAGAAATATATAGTCCTCATAGAATGAATAGTTGAATATGTGGAATGGATTGTTTACTTAGATTGATTATCTTTTATGTTTGTGAAAGTAACTTAGTAATTAGTATCAGAACAGGGTTTTGTGGAGATTGTAGTAAATTGGAGCTAGATCACCATGGAAAACCTGGAAATACTGAATGGCCGTTTCGTCCTATTGTGGGACTCTTTAGTAGTGCGCATCTATAATCCCACCTTGTGAGATTTGAACTCAGGATCTATTAGTCTCGAGAGCGTGCGCTTAGCTACTAGACCACTGAGTCGACCGGCATCTAACGATGTTAATGTCTTCATCTGTAACTATCTCGTAATAATTCATCCAGTCGATCAGTCAGCTACAACGTAGGACCAGGCACATATATATATATCTGTCCAAGTTGTCATTACTTCATTAGCACGGCAAGATGAACACCTGATTGATAGAAGTGGTTAATTCACTGGTGCTAATATATAAAACAAAGATTGAATATAAGGATATAGTACAGGATGAGAGAAGCGATTTTAATATCACAGTTTAAGGGAAGAGTGTATACACCTACACCTCGTAATAATTAGTTATGTATATATATATATATATATATATATATATATATATATATATATATATATATATATATATATATATATATGTTATATGACCATCAAAATGTAGAACATATTGGTTGGCTATTTTGTCCCGATATGGAACTCTTCAAAAGTAATCATCCACGATATTAACGAGGATCGAACACAGGACCTTTGGTTTGACATTGAGCACTTAACCTGTTGTACTAATAAAGGTGATACAACTGATAGAAAGATTTCTAGGACATCCATTATGAAGCTGTGACCACTAGAGTTTGTCTATGTTGGGTGTAGGACAGTTATCTACAACATGTAAAGTATTAGGTTTTGTATCGTTGATCTTAGAAATTGAACACTCTCAGTGAGAAAGAAGTCCTACATTCGATCTCCATTAGGATTGTTGATTTATAGTGCTTCAGAGTGCCATACTGAGAAAGAATAGATATCCAATAGTTCCTGCATTTCAGTGATTGTCTAACAAAGGTTAGTTCTTGAATATACACACATACTGTTAACACAGCAATAAGAAGACAGTGTCTATTTACTTAAATTTAACTTTATTATAAATAGATAAAAACTGATATGACTCGATACAGGGGAGAAGCTGAAACCAATAGATGAAGATTTATTATACACCCACAAATAAATTGGGGTATAAGGAACAATTTATTGATGAAATAAATATGAATTGAGATTTAGAGTTGATTAGGTTCATTTCGATCGATGATGATAGTATTAAAAATAAAACAGAATTTGTAAAGCAACCACATTTTACGGTACTACCATACCCGACCACTACTTCGAAAACACCAATCGTCATGGCATTTTTCATAGTCAAATAACAATCCAGAGTAAACTGCTACGTAGTGTCCTCGATATTGATATAAATAGGTGAATATCTTACCTGTGTCACAAATGGTACAATTTTGTGTAAGGTATCTGATATTCTATCAACCTTTAACCTACTAGGCTGATGAGTCTTTCAAGATAAATGAATTAGTTAACGCGCACTATAGCTTCATCCTCTTTGGTCAGATTAGACATTGGTCCAACGTTTTGTACTTGAAGGATGATAAATGCATTTCAAAAAAGCCTTCAGAACTGTTCAAGTAGTTCAGCAAGTAGATTTTCTGGCAAGATTTGATTTCAGCGAATGTCTGATCCGTTCAAGTTCAAGTAGAGTGCCTTTAGGAAGTTTATGTGATGTTTTCGATACATCTTTCAAATACAGAACCTGTCGTAAAACCTTTCTCTCCACGAAGTTAATAAATATACTGAGGTTAGGCCCCGGTAAACATCCTTATGCTTGAAAAATTGACCTTGCATAAACTTTCTATCGAGGAATCTACGTCTAGACCTAGAACGTTCTCAATTTTTCCCATATTTGTTGTCCCTGAGTTACGTTTAAACATTGAGTAACTATATGGACCAAGATTATAGTTATTTTACCAGTTAAACTGTTACCTATATCACTGTCATCTTTAACACAAACTAGGACGATCGTATGTGGAGACAGATCCATTGCGATTTCACTCAACTCCTAGATCCTACTTAACAGAGCAGTCAGTTTTAACAATAACGTCAGACGGCCATCCCTAATGATCTCCCTGGTTAACTTGTGAACAGTTGATTTTCTCCCTTGAGGTTAGTTGTTGCCTCTACAACGTTTCTGACGGCTTCAATCCAGATGTTGATATCTGACTCAACTGGTTCTGAGAAGCAAGCGATTAGAATGGAGCTGGAAGAAAGTTAAGTTATTTCTCAAAGTGTCTGATACACAGTTGCGGTAGGTTGACCTGAGGGTAGATAACAGTACGTATATTTCAGAGGATGTCTTTTCTAATATTTGCCTTATGATATTGTTGTATATGGAAATTTCAGAGATTAATGTAGTATAAATTCTAACCAACACCAAAGAGTGGTTAGAGTTTTAGTAATTTTCCTGTGAGAAGAGATAAACTTTTACCGACTCTCTCCAACGATGAATAACATTGTTATGGTTCATTTGTGAGTTGCTATTATAGGTCAAAACATTGAACTATGTCTCGGTTTACCCTTCAAGTTTGTGATTGCTAAGAATAAATAGTTCTTTGAGCATAAACAAAACAGATGGTCGCCACCATAATTTCATCCAGCTAGAACTTTAGGAAGATAGACTGGTGTTTTTCGGTCTAATTTGACCTATGTACATGGGAGCCACAATAACGCGCTACAATTACTACCACTGAGAACTTTAATTTTAATTTTTTCTAAAAAACTTTTGTTAGAACTTTTCATCTATTTCTTCTGGGATTCATTTAATGGAAACGCAGACAGAAACAACCAAAGCTAAATCTGATCTTCTGGTTTTTAATGATTTATCCAATTATCCAACTCAAATGCGACTGGCGAATGGAATGAAATCAAGGAATAATAGTTACGTTCTCGAACTCAATACTGTTTTTATACTGAGAGCACCAGGGTTAAACAATGGTTCTTTAAATATGGGAAGTGTAAACTTCGCTGACAAGCTATCGTTAGATAGATAGAAGTGCTCGGTTCCTAGTCCTAAACTTCCGAAAAATAATATAAATTTATACTGTAGTGCTTTGTTGGTGCCTTTTGTTCGATTTACCTGAAAGTATGAAAAATAAAATCTCCAACATGTAGTTCACAGCGCAATTTCACGAGATTATGGACGGTTAAAATTCGAAAGGTTTCAATTGTTAGTTCACTGTTTATATAAGTAAAAGAATATGAAACCAAAAAAAGAGAAGCTCTTAGCTAAGATATGACTCAGATGTAGAATGAACCTGTTGAGAAACATTACATCCGGTACTGGGATGTCATACGTATTTTATTTCTAGGTTAAACGGTTTTATTTTCTTTCTCCCCCTTGTGAAAACGCAGAATCTATAAAATTTTATCATGTAGTGTTGTCTCAGACGAATAATTTGGCAAGCGAATATATAAACATTGTCTACAAATTCACAATCTGAAAATTTATAGTTTACTTCAAACTTGATTTCTGCATACATATATCTCTTACTACTTATTAAAAATAAGTAGTTAAAATTAAACATATATATATATATGCTCACACCTATTTGAAACTGATTGTAATTTAATTCATTTGTATTGATTACA